CAATCTGGATTTAAATACAAGTTAAAATACTAAAAAATTAGAAAGTTAGCCTTTCTTCTTATTAATTTAATTTCATGGTTTCTATTTCCTACTTCTTTAGTTAGAATATATTATTATTAGTGGGTGAAGCTCGTTAACATAGTAAAATATTTTGTAATCTTAATTTTAATGATCAAACACTCAAATTTGACCTTGTTTCACAATCACAAAAATTTTTTCATATTAAAATATGCATTGCGAACTTCAAATAATACATATAGTATTTGGACTAGTAATACATATAAAATACTATGTAATTGTTTATACAAATCCTTACAAAAAAATGTTAATTATATAGTAAAAGATTGCATCACCATTCTTTTCGCTGGGGACTGTAAAGGATACTTAGACAATTAAAGTAGCTGTATAGTCTATTCTTTTTTAACTTTAGTTGCGAGTTTTTGAGATTCAATTTCAGTACAAATCATTGACAAACAAAGAAGTCATTTCAATTAATTGTCTTAAACGTCTATAAAGTAATATTAATGATCTAAAATATTTTATCAAATTTCATAAGGTTAAAGTTATGTAAAATGAATTAGTACTCAGTAATGACTATTTTAACAATAAATCTCAATAATCTGAAGGAATCTAACACTAACCATATCATTAAAGAGCAATACCTACAAACTGTCTAACAATATATAGTAGTGCATAAGGAACTTAAAAACCATAAGATCTTATTTATTACCTATTTAGATTAATCCTGTTTACAATGTCACCCAAATTATGAAATTCAATCAGAAAAATTACTATCTTTTGATAATTTTTAGTTATTGTGAATTGCGCCTAAATATAACACTATATCATATATTACCTTTACTATAACATATTTTATAAGGGCCCAAGAGAGCGAAACTAGCTTTTTAGAAAGAGATCTCTTATTAAAATATTTATTGAAAAAAATTATTACTATAATTAGATATAAGGATAATATATTAAAGAAACCCTTTGAAAGCATTGCTGAAGAATTATATCATATCTGAATAAAAACAAAGCAATTTTAATCATAAGAAACTGAAAGCATTAGCAATACTAGCTCCATTACAAATAGTAATTGTAGTGATACTTCAGAAAGTATGGAAAGGGACCAAAATGATACTATCATAACACCTTTTCAAAGAAGTAACAAAAGTTCTTCAGGAACAATACTACCAATAGCAATGAATAGATTACCATCAAAAACTACCACACTTATACTCCAATCACCAACTAATCAATTATCTTATAATAATATACAACTATGACAATCATATCTAAGAGATAGAAGGCAGCATGACGAAGAAGAGAATGACACATATACTCCTAATTATAAGCAAAATGTCATATATGAATATATTAATAATGATGACAAAACACTGCAAGGAACGTTCTTCTTCGATAATACAAATGAATTAGAAAGGAAAGAATATTAAGTAGAATATCTTGAAGAGTTACATTTAATACAAATAATGATAGGAGATCTTCATCTTTGAAAATATCCAACAGCTAATAACTGTAACTGTACATAATAATCAATTGTTAAGGCTATCAAACCCAAGAATGACAACTTCATCAGTAGGAAATAAAAATGGTAGACCAACATTAGAAAATTCTTTTGTATCCAACAATACTTATAACTTTTCTCAAGCAACTCAATATAGCTATGTATTTGATTCTTTTGCATCACTTAATCCTTTTTGAAGTAGTAATCCATTTACAACCTTTAGTTTTATAATTGCAAATTGGCAGTCAGTAGGTAATCAATGATTGAAAGTAATCAAAATAATAGCAAAAATAGTATAGGATATCAAAATATAATCACAAAAGAAACTTCACAAGCAATAATAGTAGCTTAACCATATAATACTCAACCATCATTAAATTTCATAGGAGATAGTTTTCAGCCAACTAATACTACAACTTCTCAGTCAATATATAGTAAGTTACCATTTACTAATATAAACACCTCTCAACTAATACCTACATTCCAACTAGTTATAGTACTAGTAGGGAAAAATAATAACAATACTTACCTTCAAGTTATACAAGGTTTAGCAAGATTACTCTAAAAATAACAAATGAAGAAGCAATAGTTAGTAGATTTACTAACATTTAGAGGAGAAAACCAGAATCCAGTGAAATAGTTAAGGCTTTTGAATGAGCTTATAAAGCAAATCGTATCAATACTACTCGAATAGTTGAGATAGCCCTCAGTTACTTAATAGGAATAGCATTAACATAGTTTTAATGACAATATATTACTAACTAGAATAGTAGAATTAATTCTAATACTTTCTTCATACCATTATTCAAACAACATTTCTGCAATGCATTTTGATAAAATCAATAGAAGTATCAACTTAAATACAGGAAACAGAAACTAGGTGAAACCATTAAAGAATATGTTGCAGTAATAGGAGAATTGTAGAAGAGGGTTGACCCACAGTATAGGCGAGCTGAAATAGATAGAGTAGCTAAATTTATTGAAGAACTACAATCAGAATTTATGATGCCAGTACAAATAGCAATGCCAACAATGGTAGACTAAGTAATTGAAAAGGCTAGAGCAGTAAAATCTGCATATTCTATTAGAATAGAACTATCTGCTTATTCGTTAATGCCTAATTATATGCAATTATTATAAGAAAAAATGGTATCAGCTCATACAAATATAGCAATGCAATTCACATATATTACACAGCAATTAGATATTAAAAGTACTATTAATCATAAATTAAATGAGAGATTATAAGCGATTATGATAAATATTGGATAACAACAGTAACAATAGTAACAGTAACAGCAGCAATAACAACAATAATGACCACGTGAATGCTTTAATTGTGAAAAATCTGAACACTAGTCTAAAAATTATAAAAGTAATCAACATATAAATAATATGAATAATTAGTCAAATATTAAATGTTTTAACTGTGAAAATTTGGCCATTTTGTTAGGGATTGCAGAAGTCTAAATAATAATTAAGAACAGAATTTCTAAAATAATAATAATAATAACAGAAATTATAACCACAGTAATAGTAGGAATTAGAATTATAGGAATGATAATAATAATAATAATAATAATAATAGTAATAATAACCAACAGCATTTAAACTAGAAGTCGCATCTCTTAGAAGGTAAATGTACAAACAAACCAAAGCCTCTAAAAGCGAAGGTAGATGAAAAATCAAAAGAAAATACTCAAAGTGAGATGAAAACAAAAGTAAGTTTAATAGAAGTATCCTATGTATACAGAGGAATGAATTCAAAAATATAATTTGAAGGATTATATGAAAACAGATATGACCATTCTAGTTACAAAAAGTATAATCATCATAGTCACATTATATGTACAAATTATAATAAGATTGCTAAAGAAATAGCAGTCTGATGTGAATGTAAGGAAGTAAAATGGAAGGATCCACTAATATATAAGAGGATTTTCAATAAAAATCAACCAATTAAACCAGTAAATCTCTAACAATAAGGAGAAATTACTGTTAAGAAGAGACCAAAGTATGTATTAGGAATTTTATATGATAATAAGAAATCTATCTTTCAAAACGAATTAATCTAAAGAAGGAAATGTATAATTTATGGCAAACAGTAAGTGAAAAAGTTAAACTAGAAAAATCATCACTAAGGGATATAATTCAAGAAATTGATGAGAAAACAGGAATACAATTAGATGGAGATTACTTAGAATATATTTTAAATGATCCTATATATAATTGTGATATATATAAAATAAAATTAAACAAGAAAATACCTCAACATACTGAACCTACCAAATACAATAATTGGCAACATTTTGAGTTTAAAGAATACTTATAAATAATTAGACTAAATAAATTAATACTGATGCATAATAAATATGAAAAACTTTTTATAATCAAACTAAAAGAACAAATTATTACTAGTCATACAGCATGTGATGAATCAATTAAGAATGTATTATTTATCAAAGCTTAAGTAAAAGGATATCCTGTAAATACTCTAATAAATATTGGATCTGTAGGAAGTATTATTACTTAATGGTATCTTAAACAAATCAATAGAAAAATTAACAAACTTGCAAAAATAAAAATCATAGAAGTCGATGAAAAAACTATGATGCCTTTAGGAGTAATTAAGAAAATTACAGTAGAGGTCAATAGAATAATCATTAATGAAGATATACTAGTAACCAATGTTATAGAATATAATATTATTTTAGAAAATATCTGGTTGCAAAAAGTTCATGCTATTATTGATTATAATATAGGTATCCTAGTTGTATAATATGAAGATTAAACTTCTATGATACTTATGACTTGCATACAAGACACACACCTAAGAAGGTTCACACTAATCAAACTTAAAATAACAGTAGATAAATTAGAATTTGAAGATGAGAAAGATATTAACATTTAATAATGTTTTGCTATAGTTTCTAAGGAAAAAGAAGATATAATCCAGATAAATAGAAAAGAATATCCTGAAATATACTTGTAATAAATTGAATATAAAATGGATGTCTAACAAAATAAAAATTGAAAATGTTTGATTACATGTTGGTGTTTAAAAAACTTAGGAAATGAGGGTCAATGTAATGATTATAAAGAAATAGTAAGGATAGTGTAAATCTATCAATACTATAGAAATAGCATAGATTTTCAAGCTACTTATAAGGTTCAAATTGAAGAAAATGATATTCAAATAGAAATTGGTAAAAATGCAAAAAAATATATAATCTGTGAAAAGTTAACAGATACTTCTTTAAAACAGTTAAAAGTATTTCTTGAGAAAAATTTTAATAGTTTTACAACTACAATGCAAAAATTAATACATTTAGAGTAACATGAGCATTGTATATTTACTGAAGATATACCACTAGTAGCATTAAAGCTATACTGAACGTCAATTAAGAATGATTAGTACATTCAACAAAAAATCTAAAATATATTAGATCAAGAAATAATACGACCTTTTCAAAGTCAATGGAATTCATCTGTAGTCCTTATAAAAAAAAATGAAAAAATGAGATTTTGTGTAAATTATAGAAAACTAAATGATATAACAATAAAGGACCAATATCCCTTATCAAGAATTGATGAGCTATTGAAATCCTTGGAAGAAGTAATATGATATATTACCTTAGATTTAGCTTCAGAATATTGGTAATTTAATGTCAGAGAACAGGATAAATCCAAAATAGCATTTATTACAAAACATGGATTATATGAATTTAATGTAATGCCATTTGGGTTATGCAATGCACTAGCCATCTTCTAACAAGCTATGGATGATATATTATGAAATATAAAAAAAAATTCGTATTAATATATCTTGATGATATTATCATATTTTTTAAAATTTATGATGAACATTTACAGCATCTGCAATAAGTTTTTGATCTGTTAAAGGAAGTCCAATTAAAAATAAATCCAGAAAAATGCCATTTTTGTATAAATGAAATTCAATTTTTAGGACATGTAATATCTGGACAAAGAATACAACCTGATTCAGTAAAAATTGAAAGATCATCAACCTCAATGCTCTATTTAATATTAAACAATTACAAACTGTATTAGGATTATTTTCCTATTACTGACATTTTATTAAGACTTATTCTAAATTAGTAGTCCCATTAAATGACTTATTGAAAAAGAATATGCCTTACAATTGGACAAAATAACATCAAGAAATTTTTGAAATACTAAAGGAAAAATTAACAACTATGCTAATTTTGTTCTATTCTGATTTTAATCAATCTTTTATTTTGAGTATTGATACAAATATCTCTGATTAGGTGCAATATTTTTACAAAAAGATAATGAAGAAAGAGAACATCTTATCTGGTATGCAAGCAGAACGTTAAGCCTAGCAGAAAAGAATTAGGGCAATGACATAAATTACCTAATATCATTTTATTAGAGACACCAACCCTTTCACCCTCAGGTAAGATTTTTGATTATGTGCATATTGATTAATTTCCTTTTATAGAATTTATATATCAGTTGTAAAATATCAAAATGATTAAAAATGATAAGTAAAATAATAAAATAGAAAGTTTATTATGCAATAGTCTATTTTACATTCAAAAAAATATATATTTAAAGATTTCAAGTGTTCAAAATCCCAATCTAAAGAAAAAATATGATGCTGATCATCTTTTTATGGTGATCATATCTTACTGCATATTACTGCAAAAGGAATAATTTTACATTCTCTCGCTACAAAAAAAAAAATTCGAATTGCTGTGGAGAAGAAATATTTCGCTACAAAAAAAGAAATTCAAATTGCTATAAAGTTTTATAACGTGCTTTAACTTTTACATTTTGATTATAAAAACATTTTTTATAAATAAACGCATCAATAATTTTATTTTCAGTGCAAAAATTAGCAATCAAACCTTCTTTGTTAGCCTCAAATTTAATAAGAAACCAGTATATAATTCACCAACAAATAAATATCAAGAATTCATCAATACTTATGTATATAGTATTATGATTAAAACAGGAAATAATACCCTCAACTGTGCTGAAGTTTATGGCACAGCAGCAAAAGAATGAAGCAAAATCAAAAATAAGAATAAGGCGAAAATTGAAGATATTATTAAAGATTATCTGGTTACATTATATAATCTATATAATATATCAACAATAAGACCAAAGTCTTCTGTGCTTAGAGAAATTTTGACCCCTCCTCTTCCTATTC